TAGATTAAATTATTACTCGGAAAAATTTATGAATTGGTCTGAATTCAAAGTCAGACATAAAGAGATGTTGTTGATTCTGTTCTTTATCATAATGGTGAACTTGTTTGATCGAGAAAATACAAACATTACCTGATAGTGGTTTCAGGTGTTTCCGTTCCTGATTGTATATAGGGTAAAGTTTGGAGAAAAATGGTGGTTGTTTGTTTAATCTCTGAAAAAATGTTTAAGCTGTGTTTTTCATTCTTGTGTTTTTACCTTTCATATGAGTTCTGCTATTTACGATGTTTATAATTGGTTTATAGTAATAAATGGTATTCCAACGATATTATGTTTTATATCTGTAAAGTGGAAGGTTTGTTTAAATGGTTTGCTCATGAGTTTGTTTTGTTCCATTGTTCGAGTGGGAACAAGGAAAAAAGGGATTTTTCCATAGTTCGTTAAGGTTGATCCTTGTACGGTTGCTAGTCTGCTTAATGTTTTGGAGGGTATTAATTTTGGATGTCGAATTTTTATTTCATTCCAAGTGAAATTGTTGATGATATTTGATTGCACTCCAAAATCTATTGAAAAATCTATTTCAAGTTCTGGTGTTTGAAATTGTTTGCATTTTGGACTTTCTAAAAAAAGTAGGATTGTCCAGATTTTTTCTTTTGGTAACTGCGGTTCTTTTGGTACATTTTGATAAATGTTATTTGCGCTTGAGCATTCAGTGGGTTTTTCTTCAGTTATTTCTTAAACTATTTTTTCTTTTTTTTTTTTATTTTGTTACTGGTTATAGCTCTTGTTTAATAGTTTAAAAGAAATTGATCATGGTTTTCATAAATATTGGAATATATTGGTTGTTCGTAAATAATAGGTTCGTAGTCATTTTCAAAGTGTATCATGTTAATTGAAATTGAATTTTTTGTGTCACTTTAGCTGTCTGTGGATTCGCAATGGATGTGATTTAATTGCAATTCTGTGCTTTCGTTATTATCAATACCAAGGGGGTCTCGTTGAGTTTCTCTCGTTGCTTGTACTTCATTTATTGTATTTGTTCATTTCGTGCGTATGGTTTGAAAATATCTGGCGGGTCAATACTGTAAGAACGAGGTCTTTGGCTTGAATAAAAACGTTGATGATTTTGATTATAGTATTCTTCATCATCTGATGGAAAATAATTTGCTGTATAATAATGAGGTTGATTTCTGGTATGGTATTTATTTGTATTATTTTTTTTGTAAAAAAAAATGGGTAATTTTCACTTTGTTTTTGTGAGAATTGTGATGGATCATGAAAATTTACTGAAATTGAAGTCGTTTTTGGTATATTTTGACTTTGTGAATACAAGTTATTTTGAGTATTCATTTTAAAAGGTTTTGTTGGTTTCGGTCCATATACATAGTTGTAATTATGTTCTGCAAAATTATTTCTATGTGAGGTTTGTTGTTTGTATGATGGTTTTGTTACTGGTTGAAACGTTGGATAATCCATTTGTGAATGTTTTTGTGCAACGAAAGGTTTTACTGTGGATTGTAAAACTGTTTGCTGTAGCGTTGGGTTTTTTAGTTTTGGAGTTGTAAAATTGGGTTGAATAGGTGAAATGCTTCGTTGTGCTTCTGTTGTTGTTATTGCTCAACTATTTCTTCGCTTACAAAATGTGATGGAATTTGTATATCTTGTTGTGAAAGATTTCTTGTTCCATTTAAGTTGTCGTTATTTATAAATGTTGAGTTTAAACTATTATTTCCTGATCTTTCAGGGAAGAATGAATTGTAGTTTGAACGTGTTGCGTCAATTGTAAGTGGGTATACTCTAACATAATCTTTGTGAATAGAGATTGTGCTATTAGTTTGACTTGATATATCTGTTGGTATATTAATAAATGATTCTTGAGACCATTCAGGGTCCCAAACATAATCTGATTGTTTTGTTAGTACAGTTTCGTCATCTGTATTCTGTGGTCTAAAATTTTTTCTTGCTTGTGCAATAAGATCAATATTATGACTTATAAAATCAATTATGAACCCTGCTAAAAATTTTTGTAAACTGTCTTCAACATGTTGTGTTATGTCATCACTTGTTAGATCTTCTCGGATTGCATTCAAAAATTTTGAAAATGTGTGTTTTTTTTGTCGTACAATTGTATGTCAAGAAGTTTGATTTGGTGAATCGCTTTGAGGTTCTTTCAATACTAATATAGATATATAACTAGAGATAAATGAGAATACATCATTCTTGAATAATGAGTTTGCTCTTAGTGAGTTTGGTGTTGTATGCTTTTGTTAAATTGTGTAAAAACTTTTGGAAATTCAATATCTACGTCATCAGTTTGAATGAAATATCCGTCATAAAATGCGATTGGTGACTTGATTTCTATTGTGTTGATTCCATATTGTGATGTGAGACTACATATACCTTTAAGATAGTGGTCAGGAAGTTGTCTTTTGATTTTTACATCGGGGAATTCTCTTGTGCACGGACTTTCTCCTTTTTCGAATGAAAACTCGATTAAATTTTGGCAAAATTGTACCTGTACTCGAGCTTCAGTTAATGGATGTATTAAAAATGGAACTACTGAATCTTCTGGGTTATCTTCATTTCGAATCATTTTTGTGTTGTATGACTGATAGCGTATAATTTTCAATGTGTCTTATTGGTTGATTCCAATTGTACAAACGTATTGGTTTGTTTTTGAAGCATTTTTTTTAATTCTTGGTTTCCGTTTCATTGATGCTGGTGACGTGGTTTCTGAGTCAGTGAAATATATTTGATCGTCAATTTGATGGTTTATCTTTGTTGAATCTTTTAAAATTTCAAGTTCTTGTATTGCGGTTGTTTCTGATTCTGAGATTGCGTTTCTTCCTTTTGAAATTTTTTTTCTAATAATTTGTTTTTGTTTGTTAATAATTTTTTTTCTTAGTGTTTGTCTTTTTGTTCTTATGTATCCTTCTGATTGTCTGTGTGGTGTGATTACAAAGTTGTATCTTTCGTCGTTAATTAAACAATTGGGTCTTATGATTCTTTGTTTGTTTCCTAAATTGTCTCTTGACATAAAGATTAGGATGATGGATGCAAAATTTGGATTAGTTATTCTAATGTCTTAAACTGTTAGTTCTTACGAATTTTTTGTTGTTAGCTTAACTTGGTTCTTATATGTTGGGTTGGAGAGAAAAGCGTATATCAATTCGTTAGAACGGTATTTACTTTCTCGTGACTAATTCTAAGTTAAGATAGACTTACCTAATCTTACTTAGGGGTTGTGATTCGTGATCAAGGTTTGGAGAATAGTAAATCGATCCACAAGTTTCAGGTATCATTAGAACGCAAGTAGTTCGTTAGATTTTATTTTATGACTTACTAAGCCTAAGTGTTTTAGCCTGGGTCATCTAAGAGGAGGGGGATTAAGTGAAGGATGAGTAACTGAATTTCTTCACTGTTTAGCTGAAATAAAATGGTTAGTTTTTTGAAAAATGTCTGTTAATTCTGGGTCTTTGATAAGGGTTGGGTAGTGAATCGACGTTTGAGGTCTTTAGACACTAATTAAATGTGGAGATGGAGAACAAAATTGTTCTCTTTGATCCAAGGATAGGCCTTGATGATCAGAAATTTAGATATTTAGAAAATTAGAAATGAAGATATAGTTTATTCTAAAATGAAGATCCAAGGGAAGCCTTAGGGATCTGTTATTTAAAATGAAATTAGTTTAAGTGAAAACAAGGATAAGCCTTGATAGTTCATTTATAAAAGGTTAGGGTTAAGTTTCAGTTTTGATAATTGTTAATTTTTGAGATTTGCTGTTATGTTTTAGGTAATGAAGCTGGGATGAAGAGAAGAATTATATATACTAACGATATATGATTTATACTAACTGTTTTTGTTATTTTTGTATTCAAGAAAAAATTTTCAAGATGTTATTTAAATTACAGGTGATTTGAGGAAAACGACAAGTGTTGTTTTTATCAGTCGTTATTGTATTATTATTGGGTTTAGCGCCATGAAAATTTTTTGAAGATAATTCTTCAAAACATAATGTCAGAAAATGAAAATTTAAATTTACTGCTGGTAGTATCCTAAATATAAAAGTTTGATCTGGTTTTTGTCGTACGATCATGAAATCGATTGCTAGATTTCTTTCTTTTCGTATGTCGTCTTTTGTTCGAGGTCTTCTTCCTATTCCGGGTAGTTCTCGTATTGTTCAGAATATTGGATCTGATCTATTGAGTCGTAGAGACATATCTACTAAGTTTTTGTCATATAACATTTTTGAATTGTTGTTTTTGACTAATTCTAATCTAATTTTTGTCTAAGTCTAGGTTAGTTCAGGTCTGTTCGAGTTTTTTTGGTCGCACCAGATGATTTAAGTACGGATTACTATACTCATAGAGTAATTTCAGATAAGGTACACCGTCTGCTCGTCACGCTATCTTATTTTCGGCCGGATAGATTCGTGCAACTTCTTAGTCTAATACCAATCTTAATCTTACTCTTATACCTAATCCCAATAGATCTTGTGTACACCGGCTTACGCGAGTTAGTTCCAGCGTAAACTGTAGTTCCAATGAGAAAAACTGTATTCTAAGTTTAATTCAAATAGTTCTGGTGTTTAAACTACTAGTAGCTTCAACACTTACAAATAAATGGGTTGTTAGTTTGATGGAGCATGATTGGTTAGTATTTAATATTTTATAGAGATAAAATATCATCATAATAACCAATGATAAATAATAGTTTAGATCTGGTTCCACATCAGATCCTGTTAATAGAACACGACGAAAAAACTACACTCATTTGAAAAAGTTTTTTTTTTTGCATTTTTTTGAAAACGATGGTTCTATGCTACTTGCACAATAACCGGCTATCCTTTTTATCCATGTTCAACTAACCCCATTCATTATAATCCATCTTATTTTATTTTAATTAAATAAAATGAAAAACTTAGAAATGAAAAGGCAAATGGGTTAAAAATTTGTTAGTTAGCGAGAATTGAAAAACTGTCTACGCTTTACAAAAACTCTAACCTTACGAAATCTCCAATAGTTTCAATTTTATTATGTTTGAATGGTCTCTTTCGAAGTTCGAGTAAATCATCAGAATTTTCGGTTGAAATTGCAAATTGAAAGTGTAATTTGAGATAAATCGAAATAAATGTAAAACAAAAAACAAAAGATGAAGTTTTGCATACGAAAAATAGTTTTTTCATGGTTCTCGATCTCCTTGTTTTAAATCGTAGCCCGTCAAATCAAAACAAATTACTTTTTATAAATTTTGTCATGCATTTTACAGATGCACTTACTGCGAGATTAAAGAGAACAATTATATGACCGATATAAAGTTTCATATTTTCTTTTTGGTAATTCTGTGAGAAAAAATAACAAATCTTTTCTACTTGATCAAAAAGCTTCAGAAGATCAGAGTTAAATAATTATACGCTCTAGTCCTTGAAGCAGCAAAATTAACCTTGTACCATATTGCTGTCATGGTCTTTTTATGAGTGGCAAAAAAGCTTTGATGAATCTTTTATAGTTTAGTATATTACATGCATTATCGTACTCGCACCGAAAATAGTAAAATCCAATTAAAGAGATTTTCCGAGGCAAAATTATCATCATCTTTGGTTACATATGTTAAGTTCAGACCCTTGGTTCCACTGATTAATTAAGACGTTGATTGATATTTATAAACAAGCAAGATTGCTCGTTTATTGTTTTTGAAGAGGAAGCCCTGAAAAATCTGACTACACTTTGAAGCCTATTTGAAAAAGTTTGGTCAATTGGTCAAATTAAGGTTAGGGCTCCTTACTTTATAGCTTCTGCTATCTACCTAGCAAGTTTTTAGCAAATGTCTTAACAGAGACTGCTGAAGTATGTTTACCTTACATGAGACAAACATCGAAAAATGATTCAGTAGGGCATGAAATGAATCGAAAAAGTTTTCAAAACAGTTGTAAATAACCTGATCCTCAAAAAAAATGTTTTTCTAATTATTTAGAGATTTTTTACCGGTAAAATAATCAAACTGTAAATTATTTCTGCAAGAACGGCGAAACAATCCAAATTCAGTTGTTTGCTCGATATGCACATAATGTCATGAAATAAAAGTTTTCTCAGATCTAATTTCAGATCTGAATTTTTTTCTTGGTCATTTCAGATCTTGAAAACATAGATGCTCACGATTACCGAGAACATTAGACCAAGCTTGCAAACTATAGCGATAATCTGATAGGCACTTAGTATAGTGGTAAGGCGTTTACTTATTCGTCGCCGTCAATCGTCGTGTAATCGTGTAATCGATCCCCTGCCATGGCTTTAATAGGACGAGTTCGCACTTGACTTCCAGCGTCAAGTCTGCCACAGCCTGACTGATTTTGGCTGCTGATTTTGACTGATTTTGACTGAATCACAGAAACGCAATAAGTTTTAGAAAATCAAAACCAAAAGCCTTGGAGACACTATGCCGATGCATGCAACTTAGGAGTAAGTCTTTCTGGAAGAAAATCACACCAAAAACATTCCAAATGAGGCAGTAAAACCAAAAAGTAGGGTGATTAAGTAGATCCCAAAAAAAAGTTCTCAGATCTCAAAAACTCATCTTCAAAGAAAACTTTTATACACTTTCATTTCAAGATTTTATTGTGAAAAGATAATTGTAAAACAAAAGAACAAAAGACTTTTGATAGCACAGGGAATCTTTGAACCAATTGAATTAGAATTGTGCGAGCAGGACTTCATTGAATTCCAAATTTAATCGGTTGAAAGTACTCCTGGTTAAAATAAAATCAATGAAAAAATAGACATAATTGTGATTTTTTTCTACAAGCAAGCCTTTTCTAAATCTCAATTGCGCAGAGCAAAGGTATCAGTTTTGGATACATGTGTTTTTGAGATGATGTATATCATGCGTTTTGCATAACGATGCAGAATGATCTATACTTGGACCAAGACTGGTCGTATCAGTGCAGATTGCTGAATGTTCCGATTGCCCTTTAACTGGTCTCGAATTGTTTTTCTTTTTTAATGGAATTAATAAGACCAATTAGCTTGACTCAATTCAAACTTGAAATGTGGGATAATTCGCCAAGCGTAAATATCAAATTAAACTTTCGACGGGGTCCACGGAGAACAAGTGATCAATCCGCCCTCAACCCGCAATTTTTTTTTCGAAATCATGGTCTGAATTAAAAAAAAAAACACCCCAAACATATGTATTCCTCACATTCATGAAAACCGGAACAATTAGTTATTGTATGCCAATGAGTTTTACTTATTTTTATTTTTCTTTTTCACACGATTGACAAACATAGAAAATTGGGTGTCAATTTTTCTGGGACATTTGGCTAACATTTTGCGATGTTACGCAATTGTTGCAAAGTTTGTTGAATCTTCCGTTGCTGCTAGTTAGTTTTCATTTTTGTGATCACTTGGGTCTGATTTTTTTTAGATGGGAAGTCTTGTTTCTGGGATAAGCTGATAAAATGACAATGTCCTGATAAGTGTGCGGTGCCTCGGCTGGCTTAGTGCCTCTGTAAACAACAAAAGTACCCTGAAAAATAAATCTCTCGGGGTCCAAGTGGAACCGCATGTCTTACTAAGAACCCATAAGGGGAATGATTATATCCTGAGGAACTCCAAAATGTTATTTACTTCCCTAATTTCCCTATGACATTTACTGAACTCAGAGACTGATAAAACTCGGTAGAAAAGAAGAGTTGAATTAAATAACTACAACCGTAGTATCTATATAGGAGTATAATAGCAGAACCTACTTAGCTCAATTTAGATTTATCTTTATGTTTAAAAAGTGTAGCGGTAGAGAAAGATATCGAGTTTGTGAAGCTAACGTAACAAGGAGAGTTGGTCTGATTCATACGATGATAAACAGACAGATGAATCTAAGTTTTTAGCACCATGTGATGACTTAGCACGACTGTTGTGCGCCTTGGCGCCACTGCAATAACTGCAGCAAAGAGTGTAACGTATAAACATGATATGTTATATGCGTGGCATGACATACCCAGGGGCAACAAGAAAAAAATTCTTACGAGCTAGATTTTTTTAAAGATAATAACACCACCACCTGGGTGAGAAAACAAAACTAGAGAAACAGCATAATAGTTTCGAGCAACAGCACTAAGACAAAGTTTTAAAGAAAGTTTGTAGTAAGTTTGAGGAAAGTTTTGTACTGAGATTCATTAATCCTTGAAAACAATCCCTTTTGGAGATTGTTTACTTGTCGACAAACTTGATTGAGCCAAGTCTTCGGAGTTTCTCCGAATAAAGCGACGCTTCGGTGTGACCGGGGAACTATCTCCGACTTGGCTTCACATCGCAGAAGAGGCCGCAGATTCTTCAACTTCTTTGACGGGGAGGCGAATAGGACTACTGTAGCGAGCTGGAGCTTTCCTGTTTCGACCGGACGCCTTGGCACTTGAAGAAGAGGTTTGCGATTCCACGTCATCCTGCTCCGCTGAATGTGGTGGTTCGACATTAGTAGAACTCGTTACAGTAGTGAGACCCGGTTTAGCGACCTCTGACGTCAGTGGGCCGAGAGTTGAAGTTTCTGCTGTGGTATCTTGCACCAGCGGAACGGCGTACTGAGATCGTAGAGTTGGAGTTCGTGCAACAACCGAGTCGGTATTAGGCAGAGTGGCCACAGAGCTGTTCGACGCGTCGAGGCTTCCCATGGGCAATTCCGAAGGCAAGGTCGGGTACAATGGGGGTTGAACTGAAGGCGTTTGAGGAACGTGTTGTGCCCTTGGCGCCTGAAGAAGCGCTAAGGAGACCCTCGGGACCTGCTGAGACGTAGACATTGATCGAGGAGACCGCCTGGGCGATTGAGTACGTGACAAAGCTTCCTGGGTATCAGAGTCCGACAACAGGACTACTGGCGGATCTGCCGACCGCACCAGAGGAGCTGGCACTATCGAAATAGGACATCTTTGCATAGGTATAACGATCTGACATAGTAGCGCTATGTTTCGTGGAGGCAACGTTTGTCCGATCCTGATTCCCCGAATGGGAGCTGCTGCTGATCTTTTCGCTAAAATCTCAAGCTTTTTAAAATTGCGTTTTAAAGCTATGTGATGCTTCCGGAAAATTTTTCCCGTGTCCGTAAAATACGCGTTGTTCGTGACCCGAACGATCTTGAATTTTGACAGTCTATAAAAATGTTTTCCGGAGTTTCTGTCTAGACATTTTCGAAAAAAAAATTTACGATGCCAGGACTATGTATCAACAAAGACTCTAAATTACTCGTACCGGAAGATCTTTGACGCGAATGACTCGGTGAAACGGATGGTTCTCTGCTGGGTGCATCCGCAACGCGGTCGTAAAACCTCAGGGTACTTTTGCTGAAGCCTGTTTTCAAAGCATTAGCAATCTCATTATTGCGTGATCCGAGCTCTCGCATCAAGTTTTGCCCCGTCTCCACGTTAATATTACGTTTAAGCTGGCTCCACCGGCTAGAATTGAGCGCGTGATCTTCAAGTGCTTTATATTGTTGGGTATCAGCTATCTTCTGACCCGGGACAATTTTCTTGAAGCGCAAGGCCACGTCTGGACTGAGATAACCACGTTGCACCACTTTCACTCTGTCCAGGCTGTAATCTTGGCTGTTTCGATCTTCCAGTTTCAGACTCTTTGCTGTAATCTTGGCTGTTTCGATCTTCCAGTTGTAATCTTTGCTCCTGTTTCGATCTTCTTCCAGCAAGAATCTTATCCCTGGCCAAAGAAAATTCCGTATTCGGTTTTCGACCGAAATGAACTTTAAAAAGAGATTTCTTAAGTATTGCGTGCTTGTATTTTCTAAGGTCATCTTAGATCGTTTTGAGGACTTGATTGAGACCTTTATACTGAGGGCTAAATGCCTCTGTTCCCAATTCACGTTTTATCGTCTGAATAGTCCTTTCCACTAGCCCACAGCCAGCCACGGTGGTCACCGACTGGACAGAATAGTTGATCGATTCCCAATTTTTTTTGCAAAAAAGCTTAAGCAGAGCATTTTTAAAACCGGAGCCGTGGTCTGTGCGTATAAATTTTGGTATGCCGTTGATACGTATATATGCTTCCAGAAACTTGACTACTTTTTTGGAACCGGTATTTTTTGTAAGTAGGACGGACGGGAATTTTGAGAAACAGTCTACTGTCACGAAGATGAAGACCCTTTTTCCTTTTTCATCCTGCAACGGGCCAGCAAAATCTAACTGTAATTTCTCATTAGGAGCTAAAAGGGGAGGGAGTGGT